CAAGTAGAGATATCTTGTACTGTATTACTACAGTATAAGTAGAGATATCTTGTACTGAATTACTACAGTACAAGTAGAGATATCTTGTACTGTATTGCTACAGTATAAGTAGAGATATCTTGTACTGAATTACTACAGTATAAGTAGAGATATCTTGTACTGAATTACTACAGTATAAGTAGAGATATCTTGTACTGAATTAATACAGTACAAGTACAGATATCTTGTACTGTAATACTACAGTATAAGGACAGATATCTTGTACAGTATTACTACAGTATAAGTAGAGATATCAGTGGTGTGGTCAGATGCAGTCTGAGGTGAACACACTGTATCATGTGGACAGTATGAATGATGTTCGGTCCACCTCCTGTTGGACTTCCTGGTGTTTCCAGGTTGATCAGGAGCAGCTGCTGCAGGTGACAAACATAAGATGTAATGTCGGCTCCTCCCTGCACTGCTGTGTACATCAGTGTAAATACTCTGACTGACTCACAACTGTTAAGTTGTGTATTTACTGCACATGTGTAAGTTAGAGGTCAGTCATGTAGCTGCAGYAGGATCTTCTCAATAACAGAATGTCCTGATGTTCAACCAAGRCCAGAATCTTGACAATCTGATGCACTAATTAAAGGTTTTAATTGATAGATTTTTTATATGAGCATTGTATTTCACTGGAAACACTGGTCCTGTACCAACCCCTGTTAGAAGCAGCTGTTTTCTGATTAATTATTCAGATAAAATSAGGTCATTACCAGTAAACAGTTTTTGTTTTATCTTACTGGGGTTGAGAGTTTGATATATTTTGTTATTTTTTTCCTCTCATTAAATCAAACAGACGAAGAGTCTCCAAATGAAGCAGACATGGCAGAGGAAGGTGAGGATTCACTCCGAACCTTGATTCATCTGGACTCACTTATATAATAATAATAATAATAATAATAATGATGATGATGATGATGATGATGATAGTAATGTGTTTTTGGTCTAATTGTTTCTTGTGTTTCCTAACAGCAGAGGCAGAGGTCCAGAGTCAGGGTGAGCCCACAGGTAAAAACTACTTTCAGACTAAATCATTGTGTCCRTAGAGTCGCTGCAGTGATGAGACCAAATGTTTGACTCACTTATGAGAAATAATGTGAACACTACTCATATTAAAGGTATCCATTTGTTTTATACCAGGCTGTAAAATGATTAGGAACATTTTAAGAAGCTAAATTCACATCCTAATGGGAACAAATAGCAAAGATGTAAGATGAAAAAGAGTAGTGCTTCCCACACAAGCATTCTGCCTCTTTGAAAAGTTGAACCTTSTGTCTGCAGATTTAACATTTCATGTCAAAGATTCAGTTTGCTCTCTCCTGCTCACACTTCCTCTGAGAACATCAGTGAAACCTGTGTCCACATCCACTACCTGGACAAACATGTCTCCACCTGGATGTGAGGAAGCAGATAGGGATGAGCCTCCTGTTGGATAATTACTGACTGGTGATTATCTTTCAGCTGCAACAAGTTATTTAACCCAACTGGTGCAATGAGTTGCTCCTCACTTCTTAAAGGGGCAATATTCAGTGTTTCTCAGGCATTTATTTAAATACTATACCATAAAAAAGTATCTATGTCACCTTTAGC